TGTCGTTTCAGCCTAAAAAAGAGCCCTCCAGGCCCCAAGTCTTTTCAGCCTGAAACGGAGCGCAATTTTCAGGCCCTCATAAGGTCGACCTGCCCCGAAACTTAGGCACCAGACCAAGGTTTTAGCACAGGCCATTTCTGGGCCTGTTTCAAGAGAACCTTTGTTTGAACTTCAACGACAGGGTCTGGCACGATTCGGCATGGGCAAGAGCAGCCTCCCAGGTCGGACCAGCACTATATGGTACTGGTCCGCCCTGCACTTCACAGGCAGTTCACGGGCACTTCCCGTGCAGGAAGCAAGAGGTAGTCTTCAGGATTTCCGCAGCAGCACTCTGGATGAGCGCTGCAGTAGTAGTAGCGTTAGGAGTAGTCTTCAACGTTGGGCGCTATTATGAGCTAGAGTAGCGTTGGAGAGAGAGAGAGAGGGCGGAGGCCAGGGAGACTTCCCTGTGGCGCTATAGCTCTAGCTTCGTCTTCGATGTACCGGCAACAAGGCGCCACCTTCACAGGTTAGTACCGGAGAGAGAGAGAGAGAGAGAGAGAGAGAGAGAGAGAGAGAGAGAGAGCTCTTCTTCTTCCTCTTTTAAGTCCACCATGTCTCCCTCACCCTCTCGCTACCTGACTTCTCAGTATCTGCAGACTACGAGAGAGAGAGATTGGCGACTTTGGGACTTGACGACATTTGGATCCAGACTCGACATTCGGATTGAGACATTTGACAAGGGACTATTTGGGACCTGTGCCGAAGACTTGGTGTTGACGACATTCCCATCTCCCCCCTCTTCTTTGTCTGATCCCCTCCTCTTCGTCTATGAATGGTCTGGACCTGGCGTATTCGTCCTTTGTGTAGCAACTTTGAATATTAGCATTTCGTTTTCTGTTTCACTCTGGGCAGAATAGATGAACTAGGAAGGTTGTCATATTCTCGGATTCGATCTATTCTTCTCTGAGAGTGGAACCTCCAGTCTATTTCGCGCAAAAACAAAATTCAAGATCGAATCTTTTTTGAAAGTCGAAACTTTGCGGAACCTTGCCTAGATCTCGCTCATAGTACTCCTCTGAAATGCCTCACTCGTAGGAGATCGACAGATATACAAAAAAAAAAAGAAGGGGGGGGTGATCCTCTTCTTTTATTTTTTATTTTTATTTTAGTCTGTTGATTAGGACCGGGAGGAAAGTACAGTTTGGTTGGTTACCTTTCTGCGTTTCCCTCCCACCCAGCCCTGCATCCCCGGTTTGGTAAGTGCCACGCCAACAGTGCCACGACAGCAGCAGTGCCACATCAGCAGTGCCACGACAACAACGGTGCCACATCAGCTTCAGTGCCACGTCCGCAGTGCCACGTCAGCAAGGCCCCGCCACAATGACGGGTTCGTCATTGGGCATGCCAAGTCAATTGACGAGTACCATCAACGGGTTCTAGCTCAGCTCGCACCGACCGAGGCTGAGGTACAGCGCCAGGCGGCAGCCAAGGCTGCCTGCTTACAAGCTGAAGCAGAGGCAGCAGCTGAAAAGCAGCGACTTCAGGCCGCAGCTGAGGCAGATACCCAGGGACGCCGCAAGGAGGCCCAGGATCTGCTACAGCGCCCCGAAGCTGCCAGCGTCCAAAGGCTCAAGTTCTGGCAGTCGCAATGCTCGACGACATCAGCACCTTCGCCACACCAGCCACCATCAGCGACCAGCTCGGCACCTTGCAGACCGGACTCAGGCAGCTACACCAACCGCCCGACAACGATTGCAACACCAGTGTTTTGAAGCACTACAATATGCCAACTTCCGGATCGAGAAACTTGACGACCATACGCATCAGGACCCACTTGTCTGGTGGGACGGTTTTACAACGGAGCTTGGCATTCACGAGGTCCCCGAATACTTGTTCATCTCGACGTTGTTCCTCAACGTCAAGGGCGGATGCCAGATCTGGCTCAGCCACATGGCAACCATCTACGGCATCCAGGTCAACCATTTATACAAGAAGATCTCCTGGGAAGATCTGACGAGAGAATGGAAGAAGCGGTTCATCGTTGATGATGCCCCAACACTCACCATCAACCGCCTTTTCACCATGACCCAAGGCAACACACCGACATGCGATTGGCTCACGGAATAGCAAAAGATCGTGGCAATGCCCGATCTCGAGTTGCCATTTTCGCATCTGCGCCGATAGTTCTACAACCGACCGTGCGTCGCCTTGAGCCTCGCACTCGGTGATCGCGAATTATCGACAAGGCGAGAGAGATCATCAAGACCAACCGGGTTGCTGCACACGAGAAGTCAACGTGGCAGCCAGCCTATGTGGAGAAGGGAAAATTTGGTCCACGTCCGCAGCATGTTGCTGCAGTCCAACCGCACAACATTGTGGAAGACCCGGCAACCACCTCAACATCACGTGAGGGAGATCAAGTGGCCGTTGTTCAGCCGTGAAGCAACAACAACTCCCGTGGAAAAGGGAAGGCGAAACTTGCATCGTCGGCCGGAAACGGACAGCCAGTACCATGGTTCAAGTTTAACTTGATTGAGGCCGAATACAAGTGGCGCAGCCAGTATGGCTGTTGCTATTGGTGCAACAGCACCAAGCACAAGACCTCGCAATGCCAGGATCAAGGCAACGAGGATGTTCGACCTCACATCAACTCGGGAAACTGAGTTGCGCGTGAGGTGAGGCGACTCCACCTCTCACTGCGCCAGATTCAGCCGCCTTGCTAGTGGCCTCATACACATCTGGGGAGGACGTGAATGTCGCGAGTCCTCGGTTCACTTACGAGGATTACGCTGACCAAGTACGCTATCCACTTGGTCCCACCGTTGGACCAACCACCCCACCGGCAACAATCCACCGCATGCACAGTTTCATCACCATCGGCAACCGATTTGGCAGCTTCGCTGCCAAATTTCGCTGGGGATTCAACGTCATGGTCAAGACTTAAAGAACTCGACCCGTTGACGTTCGCGGACTTCCAATGGATGCCCCTTCCCCCAACCAGTCGATTGTCGAAACCGCATTGCAACGTGCTCATGGCACAATTGCTGGATTACTTGCACACTGTAGTACCAGCTCCGTTGATGGACGTCGGAGTAGAGGTTGTCGACCTTCACGACTATGTTGCAAAGATCGACCGCGAGTTCAAGACACAACGGTACGACGACATCGACACGCCATTGTTGTACATACACATTCAGATCGGGGAAGCGACCTACAACGCTTTGATTGACTGCGGAGCCACTCGCAACTATATCAGCCAAGACTTTATGGTATGAACTGGCCTTGGGCCACACGTTCGGAGGAAGTCGCAACCCACACAAGTCACGTTGGCCGACGCTCACACGCACAAGTTAATCGACCGGTGCATTGATTTTGTCCCCATGTACTTCGCCCCGCATGCAAGCTAGGTCGTCCCCTTCGACATTTTGGACACCTAATTCGACATGATTTTGGGCATGTCATGGCTGCGAAGCGAGGACCACACGGTGAACTTCTACCGCCGCACCGTTCACGTTCGTGATCGGAATGGAGTACTAGTCCCATGCACGGTGCCTCCACCTCACCCTTCGATCAGTTGTCGCGTGGTGTCCGCCGCGAGCATTCGAGCTTCCATCACCCGAGGCGTCATCGAGGAGATGGGTGTGTGTTTTCTCCACGCCCTCCCGCCCCATGACATCATCGACGGATGCGTCGATGGATCCACGCATCACCGAGCTTCTCGACGCCTACGGGGACGTGTTCGAAACCCCGCACGGAGTAGTATCGGATCGGCCCATCCGCCACGAGATCATCCTCGAGGCCGGGGCCGTACCTTCGCGTGGTTGCATCTACCGCATGAGCGAGGAAGAGTTAAGTGTGCTATGGGCACAACTCGACGACTTTCTTGAGAAAGGTTGGATTCGGCCTAGCTCTTCGCCATACGTCGCTCCCGTTCTCTTTGTCCGGAAGAAGAACAAGGACTTGTGGTTGTGCATCGATTATCGCAAGCTCAACGTGAAAACCGTCAAGAGCGTCGGCCTTCTTCCGCGCATCGACGACCTCCTCGAACAGCTGGGCGACACCAAGTTCTTCTCCAAGCTTGAACTCAAATCGGGATATCACCAACTTGAGATCCGGCAGGAGGACCGGTACAAGACCGAGTTTAAGACGCGATATGGGCATTTCGAATGGCTGGTTATGCCTTTTGGCCTTACGAATGGCCCGGCCACATTCCAAGCGGCTATGACAACGGAGTTCCGACACATGCTGGATAGATTCGTACTCATCTACCTCGGCAATATCTTGGTGTACAGTCCGAGTTTGGACGAGCATGTGGAGGACCTGCGCACCATTTTGGAACGGCTACGACAAGCCAAGTACAAAGCCAACCGCGAAAAATGCGAACTCGCGCAGCAAGAGCTGGAGTACTTGGGACATTATGTGACACCGCAAGGCATCCGTCCGCTCACGGACAAGATTGAGGTCATCCGCGTATGGCCCGAGCCCACCAACACCACCGACGTTCGCTCATTCATGGGGTTGGCAGGCTACTATCAACGCTTGGTCACCGGATACTCAAGGATCGCCGCACCATTGACGAGACTACAATCGCCAAAGGTGCCATTCGTATTCGAGGACGACGCACGCCGGTCATTCCAAGCACTCAAGACGACCATGCTCATGGCACCCGTCCTTAGCATCTACGACCCCACCTCGCCAACGAGAGTCACGACTGAGGCATGGGGGCAGTCTTGGAACAACACAACAACGACGATTGGCACCCCGTGGAGTATTTCAGCCACAAAGTGCCTCCCATCCACTCACTTGATGATGCGAGGAAGAAGGAGCTACTCGCGTTCGTGATGGCTCTCAAGCGCTGGCAGCACTTTCTCCTTGGGTGTCATAGGTTCACATGGGTCACTGACAACAACCCGTTGACCTACTACAAGACCAGGATACGGTAAGCAACACGATCCGGAGATGGATGTACTTCATCGACCAACTTGACTTCACACCGAAACATCTCCCCGGCCTCTCCAATCATGCAGCAGATGCACTCTCGCGAAGACCCGATCTTTGCGCTATGACACATCATGCCTTCGTGTTCGACGAGGAACTCCAGCAGCACTTCATCCGAGGCTATTAGTCCGATCCGGATTTCGCCACGCTCTACACGCAGCTATCTTCGGATCACCCGTCGGCCAGCCACTATCGCATCGTCGACGGGTACTTGCTCCTCCACTCGCAAGGCAAGGACTTATTGTGTGCCCCACGAGACCGTCGTCTTCGGACTCGCCTTCTCGGCGAGTACCACGACTCGCGACTCGCTGGCCATTTCAAAGTCAATCGGACTATCGCACAACTTCGGCAACGATTCCGGTGGCCCGACCTCATTACCGATGTCACTCGGTATTGCGACTCTTGCGAAGTTTATCGACGAAGCAAGCCCTACAACCACAATCCCTATGGGGAGTTGCGCACCTATCCCACGGGAACCCGGCCTCTCCATTGCCATGGAAGTCACCGGCCCGTTTCCCCGCGACCGTTTCGGGTACGACGACATCCTCACGGTCTTTGACCGCTTGAGTAAATACGCGCGACTTCTCCCTTGCAAGTACTACGCCACGGCTCCTGAACTTGCACGCCTTTTGCACACCGGCTGGATTTGCAGCCACGGCGTACCAGAAGACATCGTTAGCGATCGCGACACTCGTTTCATGTCTGCATTCTGGACTTCTCTCATGCAGGAATCCGGCACTAAGATGAAACCAAGTTCGGCTCCGGATCCACAAACGAACGGGCAAACGGAGTCGGCACATCAAACCGCTTAAATGATGCTTCGTACTCTCATTCGCCCGGATCAGAAGGATTGGGTTGACCACCTCCCCGACATCGAGTTCACCTACAACACTTCGTCGCACCCGGCGATTGGCGTGACTCCATTCGAGTTGCACCACGGTGGCCGGAAAGGTCGTATCTTCGTTGATCTTCTCCTTCCACGAACAACCGACATAGACGCCGCTTGCTATCTCGCTTCCGTCCGAAAGTACAAGGAATTGCTGGCTCACGCCCGCGCGAACATGCAAAAGGCTAAAGTCCGCATGCAGCAGCAAGCCAACAGGCGTCGCAAGCCATGTCCCATCGGCGCCGGTGATCTGGTTTGGGTCTCCGCGGAAGAATTTGCGCTCGAACAGGATGTTTCATGCAAACTACTCAAATGGTTTGGACCATAGACCGTCCTTTTAGCCGCCGGCGGATGAGCCCGACGGCGCATCCTTTGTGATTGACATCCCTCCACATTTGTCAGTCCACCCAGCCTTTCACGCCTCAAAGCTGGCGACATACACACCAGCTAAGAGCGACGACTTCTCGGGTCGACGATCGCAAGACCCTCCGTCTATGAATGGTCATCAGGAAGTCGACTGTGTCATCACGGATCGCAAGTACGACAGCAAGCCTCGACAGTACAAGTTACCTTCAAAGCATACGATCCCGACGATACTCAATGGATTTCAGGACCAGAGTTGAAAGCATCCCCACCGCTGATCTACGCTCACTACAAACGACAAAGGTTAGCTAAGGAAATTTCACGACCTGCAACCCAGACTTTGGTCCCTCCCTCCGATAGGCAGCTTTGCCCTCGTAAGTAAGCTCGGTCTTCAAGGAAGGGGGGGGGTGGCATATTGCGCAGCCACGCGGGCCTGTAGGGCCCGACCAGATGGAAAATAAGGGCCTTCCAGGCCCTGTGTCGTTTCAGCCTAAAAAGGGTCCAGGCCCTGAGTCTTTTCAGCTTGAAACGGAGGGCTATTTTCAGGGCCTCATAAGGTCGACCTGCCCTGAAACTTAGGCACCAGACCAGGGTTTTAGCACAGGCTATTTTTAGGCCTGTTTCAAGACAACCTTTGTTCAAACTTCAATGCCAGGGTCTGGCATGATTCGGCATGGGCAAGAGCAGCCTCCCAGGCCGGACCAGCACTATATAGTACTGGTCCACCCTGCAGTTCACAAGCAGTTCACGGGCAGTTCACGTGCAAGAGGCAGGTGGCAGTCTTCAAGATTTCGGCAGCAGCACTGTGGAGCGGTGCAGTAGTAGTAGCGTTAGGAGTAGTCTTCAGAGCTGGGCGCTATTAGGAGCTAGAGTAGCGTTGGAGAGAGAGAGAGAGAGAGAAAGAGGGTGGAGGCCAGGGAGACTTACCTTGGCGCCATAGCTCCAGCTTCCTCTTCGATGTACCTGCAACAAGGCGCCGCCTTCACAGATTAGTACCGAACAGAGAGAGAGAGAGAGAGAGAGAGAGAGAGAGAGAGAGAGAGAGAGAGAGAGAGAGAGAGA